GGTGTATTTCTGAGGTCGCTGGGTATTTTTTGCCTCTCTCCCCATGGACCATTTCCTGCTGAAGAAACGCACAAATGTGCACTCCTCCCCCTTCTCCCCCTCCCTCCTCCTCCCCTCCCCCACCCACACATTTCAGACAGGTGAGATATCGTCCATATTTCCCAATTTCTTTTGGTCCCTCCAGCCTATAGAGCTCCCAGCAGCACAACAGGTTTCCAAACAAAAATCCGACATCCCCATTTGCAGGGAGGAGACAAGATCCAAAGCTAAACTATTCATCCAAAATGTGAACATTTTAAAAAGATATCTTGGATTGTCGTTGTTTTTAACAATTCAACCTTAAGTGCTGGTTCGGTTTGAGCGAAAAGCCAGGGAGAACCTCTGGTCCTCAGATCCCTGGTTCTGCAAGGAGTCCTCATTCCTCAGAAACTGGATTTTGACTCTAACCGCTTTGGATTGGAGAAGCAGCCCAGGGAGAGCGCAAAATCCATCCTGCCTGAGTGATGAGCTTCTCAAGAGACCCCAGAGGAGCAAGGCTAGGACTCTGCAAAGCATCACTTAGTTATGGCTGAGCATTGGCACAAGAACTCCTGGGGAAGGGAAGCTGAAAAACTCCCGAATTTCCTGTCTTTTCAAAGCATCAGATTGGCAGAAAGAGTTAAGTCTCTGCTGGTTCTTCTTTTAAAACTGCCAACACTTTTATGGGTGGGGAACAAGTCATGGGGAAATGCTACCTTCTCTTGAAGGTTGCTGAAAGTTCACTTTGGCATTATCTTGATGTGGAGGTGAAGAAAGGAGACCAGACAGAGGAAGGGAATGTCCATGAGGATGATGACACTCACTGGTTTTATTATTGGTATTATAATATTGCTACTGTAATAACAGTGCCCACTCTGAGTCAGGCGCTGGTCTAAGCACTTTCCATTCATCTGATCCTTAAAACAGCCCTCTGAGGTAGGTTTTAAAGCTGGGGAAACTGAGGCACCATATGGTTGGGTGGTGTTATGGACTGAATTGTACCCCTCCCATCCCCCCTAATGCATTTGTTGAAGCCCTAACCTCCAATGCGACTGTATTTGGACTCTCTCCATACACCAGAGCCTGGCAGTCCTCTAAAGGTAGCCAGCTGGGGCAGTCACAGGGCTAATCTTGTCCTTGTTTGTTTCTTCTTTCCCAGGGATCACTGTTCTTCTTTGCCTGATTTCCAGTATCTTGAAAACTAATGTTTCATATGTGACATTTTCTTTTTTTCTTTTCTTTTTTTTTTTTTTGTTTTTCAACTGGGAAGGTAAACCAATTTCCTGTTACTCCGTCTCGGTTTGAAGCAGAAGTCTATTTATTCATACAATTAATTAGTCAATTTCCTTCACACGGATCCTGTGCTTTCCCATTAAATTTGTGTGTGAATATCTTATAATTTTTGTTGCTATTGTAACTAGACTATTCCCTCCCATCTTCATTTCTGGGTACTTATTTCTAGAGTGGAGAAAAAGTATCGATATTTGCACGTGTAACATTTGCTGACATTTGTCCTGCAATTCAACAGCAAGTAACAGGAAGAGAGGCAGGTATCTAGAACTGGTGCAGATGCTCAGCAATGCCAACAGGGACCCAGGCTCGCTTCACCTTCCTCTTGATGTTGACTTTTGTCCTCATTTGTTACTTCTTGGCACAAAATGGCTGCTACAACTCCAGGACGCGTGTATGTGATCCCAACAGGAAGAAGGAAGGGGGAAGCAAGGAGCAGCAACTCTCATATCAGAAAAGCAAAAGATTTC